TATATGTATACAAAGTCAGCTTATTGCCCCCACAAACTGGGTCCTCATTTTACCTACCTTAGAAAGAATGGAAGGCTGAGTCAACCTTGAGCCTGGTGAGATTCTTACATGCAGCTGTCGATTGCATAGATCCTGTAGTCCCCCATGCTGTTTTAGTCCCCACCTGAGTTTTTCAGATAGGTGCGGCTACAGAATACAAAACTCCACACCACTCTAGTCAAGAGCCGAGAAATAATTAGAAACATAGGCAGATAACTTTAAACAGAACTCTGTGGCACATAAGATTCTGAGAGAATACATAGACTATTGAATTCAAAGTCACAGCAAACTTTTGTTACAAATTTCCTGTTTCATATACTTATCTGATCATCCCCATTTACCCAACTCCTTCTCAGCTAGAGACTTGTTAGAGGGACAGAAACTACTAAGCTGGGATCCAGAATGACTCAGAATGGGTAGGATTTACAAGCCCTATTTATCTCTAAAAATAATTGCTTTACAAGTAGACCTCGACTTATGCCTTGTTGCTTGACAATTGTTCAGATTTATCGTGGATTCAAGAATCTTTATGACCTGGTCCTCAAAGTTACTGCCACACTACCCGCATGGTCATGTGATTGTATTTTGGGCACTTGGCAACTGAATAGCATTTATGATTGGTTGCAACATCCTGACTAAAATTTCCAGCTCAATTGTGATTGTAAATCAAGGATTATCTGTATTGGTTTATAAGTCTATAGTTGTCAATGAGACTAAGGTATTTCCTGCATGTTCAGTGCCCAGCATCCTTTGGCTGCCTTCTGATATTTCATCCTTAATGACTTGGTTCCTTCTTATCTACCTCCTGAAGGGATATTTCAACAAGATTCCTGGCTTTTCTCTTATGCATGTCTGGTCCATTTTTAGTTTATGCCAACCTCAGCCTACTCTCATATTCCCATATGCAGTAATCAATCAATCAATCAATCAAACAAACAAACAAAACAAACAGAGTGTGTATCAAGTAATACAAATAATATTGTATTTTGAATCCAATTTCACCCACAACTATTTTTTTCCAAAGCTCAGTCTCCAATGTCTTTGTTTATGTTTACTCTTGTACATTGATGCATTTGTAATACTTCTATTAACTCCTGAAACCAAGCAAGTGTTTTCCTGGGCTCCTACGTTTCAAATATAGAGGGCACAACAATCGCATTATCCTTCTGTAATGTTTGCCTTTATTTATTATCCTGCAATCAGGTTGCCATCATGCATACCCAAGAAAAGACATGGGTACTTTACGTGGTGCTGATAGGTGAAGTGGGATCATGTCTACTCTAAAACACATTTTCAGCTTTGAAACGGAAGCACTGTTACCGCTTCTTTATATAGCATTTTTCAAATTAAGATACACATGCACTCTTGACTTTCACATTAAACAAGTTGCATCTATTCTAGAAAAAAAACCACAACCATATTTTAACATTACTCTAGTTACACTATCTGTATTTGCAGCTTTCCCATTTTTTAACGTTCTCACAAGATTTCCTTTTCTTTTAGACACTTAACATTTACAGCATTCATTTCAATTCCATTCTTTTATGCATTGAATAATTCCTCTATGTGCCATCCATCCATCGATCCATCCATTTTCTTTCAGGATTCAATTTCATCCCAACATTGCATTCTTTTTATATTTTCTCTTTCTCAAGATATTCTGCTTCCATTCAATCTTCAAAAAGTTTTCACTGGAGCAAAATAAGTGCACATACTTTGTAAAAATGTTCCTTGTAATTTATATCTTATATAGCTCATGAAGAGAAAGCATATACATGTACAAATAAATTATGCTGAATGACATTAGAAATGGTTCATGATGTTACTTCTTTTCATGGCTCAGTCTCAACTGACTTCATGTATTTATTTGCTTCCATTAGACACTTAGTCAGACTCTTGTTCATAAAATAAAGCAGGATGAATTTATTTCAAAATAATATATATTTTTTCATCCCGCAATCACATCATAATGTAAGATGAATGAAATAATTATTTGGGGAGAGGCCAGAGCAAAATCAACTCTGATACCTTTGATGTTGGAATCTGCAAAATATTATCATGTGGGAGCCCTGTGATTAGCACAGTTCCGTGTGTGAATCTCATGTATATTAAATGAGCATTATGGTGTGAAAATTAATTCTAGTTTGTGATTTTTAGAATGGAATAAGGAGGTGAAAATATTCTGATAATTTGGAATATACATCCTCTCAAATATGTCTACTCACATATCAAAATCAAACTTTTTTTTTGAAATTGTTGCAGTCTAAATGGGAGTGGTTCAAAAGTTCAGAATGGCTAAAACACATGGTAAGATGTGTAACTATGCTACTGGTTCTATTTAGGAATGCTCTTTTTTGTTATCCAAACAATATAATTATGTAGCTTGTTTTTTTCCTTTTTAGCAATGTATGTATGTATGTATGTATGTATGTATGTATGTATGTATGTATATTCATCTTCATGTTCTAGCAAGTTATTTAAAGAGAACTTGTAGAAATTTTGAAGAGGAGGTACTAGGGAAGAAAAATATATTAATAGATATTACTGGGCATGTTTATTTGGTATAGCAGTATTCTTCAACTTGGTACCATCCATGATGTATTACAATTTTGATAAGTCTTAACCAACATTAGTCTTTAGCAATATTGTCTGGAAATGGAAACATTGCTGTAACTAGCATTTTTGACCCCTGGAGCAGATTGGGGCTGAGCAGGATGATTCAGGCTGGCTTTGCACCATCTCCCTTGCTCTATCACTTTGCCAAAGAGCTGATTGGCATGCCAAGAGCAGCAACCTGACTCTATACCTGGCACCAAGTTCCAGACAGCTTCCACAATGTTCAAGCTTACTGTTTGTAAATAGGGTGGGATATTCCTGCTGTCCCATCCTTGGCATGTCCCTGGCTAAGAATAATGAAAATTGTCCTCTTGAGGCTATCAAATGAGGACAACAACTATTCACTAATAGAATATGTGAATTTCTACGTAGTTCATGTTGATTTTTCTGTATGTATTTATTGCATTGTACAGTAATGGTCTTTCAGATCTCTGCTGACTAGGATAAACAATAATAACAAAAACCCCTTGCAACCACTTCTAATTACATGCCTTTGAGGTTCTGTTGTGAGAAAGGTTATTGTCAGTGTTTGGGAGGCTGAGAAAAGAATGATTGAGATACAGACACAAAAGACCAAGAGATAGTAGGCAAACTATACTGCAACATTTTTGAAAGCATTCAAAGGGACTCAAAGCATTATAGAAAATTCCTATAAATGAGCTAGGAAATTCCTATTAGTTTTCACTTGAGATTTGCCCAGCTAATACTAAAAATATTTTACTAAAATCTGTGTAGTTCTTGTCCATTATGTGACAATGACAGTTACATGTATATACAAGGATATCTTCAGGTAGAAAACCTTATCTCCTAAATTGAGGCCAACGTTTCTTATGCTATATGCGCCAAACTATTACTTCAAATGAATCATTTTATTAAAGGTTTGTTGTTGTTGTTAGTTGTGAAGTTGTGTCTGACCCATCGTGACCCCATGGACAATGTTCCTCCAGGCCTTCCTGTCCTCTACCATCCTCTGGAGTCCATTTAAGCTCACACTTACTGCTTCAGTGACTCCATCCAGCCACCTTGTTCTCTGTCATCTGTTTCTTCTTTTGCCTTCAATTTTTCCCAGCATTAGGTTCTTCTCCAATGAGTCCTTCCTTCTCATTAGGTGGCCAAAATATTTGAGTTTCATCTTCAGGATCTGGCCTTCTAAAGAGCAGTCAGAGTTGATCTCTTCTAGGACTGACCGGTCTGTTCGCCTTGCAGACCAAGGGACTCGCAGGAGACTTCTCCAACACCATATTAAAGGTTACCTGAGTCAATTCTTTTTCTCATCTGTTATTTTTCCCCCCAAAGCATCAATTGACTATAGGTAGTCCTTGATTTATAACCATAATTGAAGCCAAACTTTCTGTTGCTAAGTAAGACAAATGTTAAGTGAGTTTTGCCCCATTTTATGGTCTTTCTTGCCACAGTTGTTAAGTAAATCACTGCAGTTGTTAAGTTAGTTACATGGTTGTTAAGTGAATGTGGCTTCCCTATTGACTTTGCTTGTCAAAAGGTGATCACATGACCTTGGGCACTGCAACTGTCATAAATATTAGTCAGTTGCCAAGTGTGTGAATTTTGATCACATGACCATGGGGATGCTGCAAGGGTCCTAAGTGTGAAAAAAGGTAATAAGTCACTTTTTTCAGCGCTGTATAACTTTGAATGGTCACTGTGAACTGTTGTAAGTCAAAGTCTACCTGTACTTATATAGAACACACTGCATTATATTCTACACAGTTGGTGAAATGAAATCAACAAAAATGTACATGAGAATGGTTTTTTGAATGTTAGCAATGATCACCAAAGCTAAATCCTACTATATTTGATGGAATTTTAGGGCATTTCTAAAAAAACCAGGGCAAAATTAATGGAAAGCATTTTATAATTTACACAGGATTGGGGAATCATGGCTTTATTTGATCATTAAGGGCCATACTACCTGAGGTTGCTGGGAGTTAACAATTTATGTGTATCTGATGGGCTCTGTATCCTTACCACTGTACTACCTACCTCTCTTGAATTTGCTTTACATATATTTTTCTTTTTTCTGACCGAAATGAATCCAATCTAGAATTTTAAAAAATGTATTGACAATGTTCTGGAAAGTTGATTTTGGAAAAGCTCTTAAGTTTAAGAATCAAAATTTACAAAAAACAAAGATATTGAGACTCAATGTTAACAGTAAATGAAAATGTCACCTTTTTCCTTGTGCATAATTTTGTAACAGATATGAATTTGTAAAGCATGTACATTATGTCCTTTGTTGTTTTAAAAATTGTTTCTATAGTGAGCAACGTTTTTATATAAACAAAAAAATAATTAGGAGATGGAATTATGGATGCAGACAGTTAATGGTGGATGGAAGGACCTCTTTTCTATTTCTGCTACTCTTATTTTTATATAATCAAAAAGGCACTTGACATCAATGTTAATTAAAATATAACACACAAATAATTTGGTTTGAAGCAGGCATCTAATAGTTATTTATGTTGCCTTAAGAATTTGGTTTTTTATAATGCTCTCATGCAGCTAAATACATACATAGAAATGGACATAAACACTTTTGAATACATTAGCCTGAAAAATAGATATTATTTCATTAAAATCAGATTTCTCATACTCGGTATGCCTTCAGTTTGGAAAAGATTTCGTTCATATTTTCATAAAATGTCATTCTGTTCATTTTATACACACAAAAGTAAAGAAAAATCTACTCATGGCAACTGTTTTCTTGCTGCTCTCTTTTCATCTTTTTCCTCTTTTCCACTACAGTTAACTTTCATCCTCCTCTTCCACCATCTTCCAGAAGATGCTGAGTATTTCATAGAACTACTGCAGAAAATAAACTACAGATTATGCTGGCCAAAATACAGCCCTTTCTTAACTATCATATTTGCATAACTGTAACAAGTCTAAATGCATTACCTACAATAATTCCAACGTTACATCAGGAAGTCTGTAGAGATTCTCAGTCATCCAGGTCATGGTTGTCCCAAAAGTGCTTTTTCAGGAGGCAACTGGATTTTCTTGTTTTTTCTTTTGAAGATGTTTCACTTCTCATCCAAGAAGCTTCTTCAGCTCTGACAGGATACTGGAGAATGGAAGGATTTATATTCCTTGCAGACAGCTGGTAATTTGCATCCTTTGAGGATTGGTGAAGCACTTGGAAGTTTATCTGTGTCCTCGGGGTCACCTGAGTACACAGGAGTACAGGAACCAGGAGCACTACTCAGATGACCCTGAGGACACAGATAAACCTTCAAGTGCTTCAACAACCCTCCAAAAGGATGCAAATTACCAGCTGTCTGCAAGGAATATAAATCCTTCCATTCCCCACTATCCTGTCAGAGCTGAAGAAGCTTCTTGGATGAGAAGCAAAACGTCTTCAAAAGAAAAAAAACAAGGAAGTCCAGTTGCCTCCTGAAAAAGTACCCTTGGGTTATACCAGAAAGCTTTCAATTAGTTACTGAATATTAGTCTTAATAGTCCAGCTGAGTGCCATACAAAATTAAGCAACGTGTGATTTGTTTGTATGAAAATTCAAAGAAGAAATGCCATAGATCAGTGGTTCTCAACCTGGGGGTCGCGACCCCTTTGGGGGTCGAATGGCCATTTTACAGGGGTCGCCAAAGCCCTCTCTGCCCCCCCCGCCTTCACTCACCCTCACTTTCTGCCTCTGTTGGATTGCCTGCCGTTTGCTTACCCCGCCCACTCCCAATCTATTGCTGCCTCCTGAGTCCCAACTGATGGCTAGAGGAAAAAAAACTGTTTAATTCTTGCCCCAGGGCTTCAAAGAGCTAGCTGCAAAGAGGTAAATTCCTGGAGCAAATTTTTTCCCCCCTAGCTATGCTGAAAAAGCGAAATTGAAACTAAGGAAGCAGGGTCTTTGCTGCAACGTGACAAAATGAGGCAGAGAGATTTCTTTTTCTTTTTCCTCACCAAAAAAGGTAGGTGCAAAACTGCAAACAATGGGAAATTTAGGGCAAAAGAGGAGGTTCAAGATTTTAAAACACAAAAGAAAAAAACTCTATTTAACTAGGGAATTGTAATAACTGAGATACTATTAATTGTATATTGTGTTGAAAGCAGAAATGGTTAAGTTGTGGTTTGGAGGAATATATGGGGGAAATTATTTGGTTTATTATTATTGGTAAATATAATTAATTGATTTGTAAGAAATTGGATTGCATGGAAATAATTGGAATATTCATGTTCATATTGATTAATATACAAAAAAGATAGTTATATAACTAATTGATTTATATTAAAATGTTGAATTTGCATTAAACAACTGTAATATTACATAATTAACCAATGTGAGGATGGATATAAAAATAGATGACAATGCGAAGGGGTATAATATAGAATAGAAGGGAAAAATAGAATTTGATTAAGATTAGAGATGAGGATGAAGGGTAATATTGGTTTTTTTTAAAAAAATAGATGAGGAATAAATATGGTAAAAAGGAAATATAGAAATTGTAAATTTAATTGAAATAACTAAACACTGTGTTGGAAGAAATATCCTTCTGGGTTCTACTCCAAGTTGGGAAAAAGACACTGGAAACATGGAGACTGCTTGGAAAGATGGTTTAATGGTGGACAGGATCACATGGCTTGAGTTCCTGAACAGAAAAGGGGCAGATACAGTAAATCCTCGGGTTTTTATGCTCTCTCTGGCTTTGCATTTCTTGGGTTTCCTGATTGGTTGTCAGACTCCCAGGCGGTGGGGTCTTAGCTAGCCTTGCTGGCTGATGGTCACATGTGCTTCCCAGGTCACATGCTTCCCAGGTCACGTGTGGTGAATTTCGGTTGCTAGATGGGGCCCATTGTGTTAGTTTCTGTTGCTATTGTGTTGCAAATGTCCTTTGACAAAGGATTGACTTTCTGCCTCTGGCCCATTAACAAAGGGTGGGGGACAGGAAGGTGGGAGCTGCTTTGTCTGTAAAATATGCTTCTCCATTTCTCATCCAGGGAAATATAATATTCTGCCTTTTTAATATTTCCCAAAATATTTCATTCTTCTAGGAAAGGGGTGGGTGCTAACCTCCTACAACTGCTTAAATTTGTGAACCGGCCAAATACTCTGTTCAAAGAAAATACATACAATATGTTTGTATGTGTGTTTCTAATTATTGCTATTTATTCCTATTTGTTCTCTTTTATTCTTTAAAGTTTAACAATTCATTCTTTATCTTAATATCTTTATATTTGTTTGGGGTTGGCTTTCTTCCCTTTCATCTTTTTTATTGTACAGCAATCTTTCTCCTCAAACCTACCACCTCTGTCTTTTTTTTCTTTCTTACTTTCTCTTCCCCCCCTCTTCTTCTTCTCCCTACTTCCTCTTTCTTTCTCCTTCTCCTCCTCTCTTCCTCCCTCTCTTACCCTCACTCCTACTCTAATTTCCCTTCCCTTCCTTCATCCCTCTCTATTACTGTATCCTTTTATCCATATGGACTACTCAGAGGGCTGAAAAAGTTATTTTTGACTGGTCCTCGGACTTTTGACCAGTCCTCGAATTTATGACTGTCCTCACATTTTACGTTTTTTGCCCTATCTTATACCATGTTGAAGAGAAGTAGTTGTGAAATGAGTGACATGGTTGTTAAGAATGCTGCACGGGCATAAATGTGAGGATGGTCATAAGTGTGAGGACCAGTCAAAAGTGCGAGGACCTGTCAGAAATGACTTTTTTCAGCCCTCTGAGTAGTCCCTATACACATAGCCATGGCCACCCGGTCACATGACCAGCTAGCCATGCCCACCCAATCACATGACCTCCAAGTCACACCCACAAAATAAGCCACACCCACAGAACCGGTAGTAAAAAAATTTAGAACCCACCCCTGGTTGGGGGTCACCACAACATTAGGAACTGTATTAAAGGGTCACGGCATTAGGAAGGTTGAGAACCACTGCCATAGATGTTTTCTAAGGCACCTCCACAGAATTCCTAAATCAGGGCTATATCTGTATAATTCAAGTAATTTGTTTGTATCAAAATTGTGCTTATAATAAAATAATAATAAATTAAGTTGTGCATGTTGACTTTGCCTTTCTCCAGAAATCTGAGCATGTATGTATGCATTGTAACCTCCCCATACATTTTAACAATCGTGAAAACCACAACAGTGATTAAAAGATATTCTGCAGACAAAATGTGCTTATGCCAACTTTTGGAGTTTTAAGTTCTCGGAGTCTATAATTTAAAATCCAGATGGAAATATAATATTATATTTTTTTGTGTTATATAGAACAGAGATCTGTATATAGATCTCAACTTCTTTTACATAATAATGGAAGATCAGATCTATCATAGATAAGAGGTTGGGTAGATGCTATTAAGTCAGGTGACTCCTATTTACTGACTGGATAAATGCTAACCATTTGATCAGTCTTTAATATTAACCTGTACCTCTCTCAAAGACAATCCTGAAAGTTCTTTGATCCTATCCATTCACATTATTGATTTTAACACACACACCCCTTTCTACTTCCCTCAACTTTGCCAGGCATAGGTGGTCTTCTAGTCCTCCAGTTCATTTCAAGTCCTTTTTTTTTTTTGGCTGTCAGTTGTTTTCATCACATGTGCCAAAGGCGAGAATTTCTTCTTCTTTAATGGAGCAAAAATTACAATTATTTAGTTCAGGACTGACTGATTTAATCTCGCCTCCATGGTAGTCTAAGTAACTATCTTCAGATCCATAATTGGAAGGTTTCTATCTTCCTTCTCCATGTCCATCTTTCACAGCAGTACAGACAGACAGACAAGAGGTACCATGCAAAGTACTTGTCTATTTTCTCTTTAAATTTCGGCATGATTGCATCTTTCTTTCAAATGGACGCTGCATTTCAGACCGTATTCCGCTATATTTATTAATACCAGATTCTATATTGGAAAACGAACGTGTGAGCAACATACATCTTTAAATATTGCATAACCTCACCTTGCTATTAATAGTAATCTTTTTCCCTTTCCTTGTGGAAATTCGGTTTTCTATAGCTCTTCTTCCAAACCCGCAGAAACCCAAACCTTGAGAGAGAGGGGCGTGCCGCGAACAGGGCAAACGTGTGAAAGAAGCAGAGCCAACTCTAGAAGCGCCCCCGCGCGCCCCCTGTTGTTCACGGGTAGAACGTGGAGGGCAGCGGGGGGGGGGGAAGAAATGTTGTCGGTGCTAGCCCAACCCACCACCTGTGTGCGGGCTAGAGGTCCCCCTCCTTCTTAAGACAGAGAGAGAGAGAGAGAGAGAGAGAGAGAGAGAGAGAGAGAGAAGCGCGCCACCCCTCGAAGGACATACAGTCTGACTTGGCAAACGCGTGGCGCGTGCGCAACCGTGCCTGCGCGCGCAGATCTAAAGAAGCGCGAGGCGGTGCCGTTCCCCCCCACCCCCCCCCCCCATCACTTCGTTCATCGGGGAGCCGCGCGTGCAAGCGGTTGGCGTGCGGCGCGCGCGCTCGCCCTTTGCTTCTCTGGTTCCTCCTGCTGTGTCGGTTGTTTTGTGAGGAGGAGCAGCAGCGGCTCAATGACTGAAGGCGAGTGGGGAGCGCCTAGCCGCCGCCATCACCGCCGCCGTCCCATCAGCAGAGCCCCCCCAGTTGGCTTGCATCTGAGGAAGACGTAGAGAGCCGCTCCTTATCGAGATGTGGTGAGGCAAGGCAGGAAAGACCCTCCCCCCCTCACACACCTCTGCTTCGCAACCCCTCCCCCAAACTTCGGGACAGAGGACGGGAAGGAGGAGGATTCGAAGTTGCCGCGCCCCGAAAGGGTGCTTGGACAGAGCCCGACACCGGAGTAGGTGAGTGAGGAGGAAATCAACAATTCATTTCGGCTGACGCCCTGCCTAGGTAGGTAGGTAGGTAGGTAGGTAGGTAGGTAGGTAGGAAGGAAGGAAGGAAGGAAGGAAATTGAACGCTGAATGGGTGTGCCATACTGACCTATGCGAGGTTGAGGGGAAAGAGATTCTGTCATCGTCCTTGATTTTTCTTGTTCCCCCTCCCACCATTTCCATATCGTTGCACATTGATGTGGAAGGAAGAAACAAGATTCCAGGATATGTATAATGAACTTCTACCTATTTATGTGGGCTTATAACATATGTATACGGTATTTTGAATCGATACTTTAATCTGCTACATAAAACTATTCCTAGAAAAGAACAGGCAAATCTTTAAAACATTGCTTCTTGATGAAGCCGATCCATGTTCTTATTATAAAGTGATCTGAGATTGAGGATACGTATTATGTTATTGGAATGAAAAACTATAACACATTAATGGGAATAGTGATATTGCCATGCCTTGGGAAACGTATTTTGTAAACAGGAATCCCGTCCTTCCAACCTGTTCCAATACTAATTTGTCATTGCTGAAGGCATAGCAAAACTTATAGAAGAAAAGAAACCCAGTGCTATGTTAGTGTGTTGTCTGTGCACTGGAAGTCTGATATTATAGGAGACGCAGGGAATGAATCTTTTGGTGGTGATTTACTGGGTGGGGAAGTGGGTTTCATTTATAAACTGTTAGGACAGGAAATAGTAATTGGTAGTTTACTGCTATCAATGCCAGAAAATTGGATAAAACAATAATGTGTGAGAAAACATTTTAATTCAGTATTCATGTATAAGAGATGAAGCATATCAGCCAGAATGAGGGGTTGCAATGCATTACTAGTTCAGTAGATTATCATAGGCACTTCTTACTGAAAGTATAACATTTTATAGATTAAAATGTCAGTGTCAGCTGTGTATGGAGAATACAGGAGATTTTCAAATAAAGAACATGATATGTATTGGAATGCAAAGAGTTATCTGAGCTATAAAGATATGACTTCATTGAAATTGTGAAACTGCCTGTGGGCCACTTTAATAATAATAATAATAATAATAATAATAATTTTATTTCTATACCGCCCTTCTCCCGAAGGACTCAGGGCGGTGTACAGCCTGTTTAAAAACACAAACAAAACAACAATATAAAATTTAAAATAATTAAATAAAGTGGCTCAGATTTAAAACCCCAATAAATTTAAATATCCCAATTTAAAAACTATTGTGTTGTTAGTCCGGCCTGGCGGAATAATAGGGTCTTCTTTAAGACTTGTTGATATTCATATATTTAAAATATATTTATTAGGCATTTTATACTGTCATTTACAATAAATATCTTAAAAGTACCAGTAAAATTAAAACATTAAAAATTTAATCAGTCAGCAATTTAAGACAGTTTAAAAATTTATGTGTTAAGGCCTTTTAAAAGATGTGACAGTATCAGTTCATCGGAATAACAGAGTTATTTTGGGATCTCTGGGGCTACAAAGAAGGTTTAATTACTTGTCATCATCTGATGAGCTAGTGGAAACTATTGGTAGAAGCCTTCAGGTCACCTCAATGAACCATGGAAGGAGCCGGATTAAAAAGACAAAGTGTTCTCTGAGGTAATATTGAACTTAACTGTATGCAACAGTTTATGTTTAGCAATAATTTTGCACTTAATGTAATGCTTTTATCATAGATACTGTATAATTGTCTTTTTGACAATTGTTATTAGGAGGTAGTCCCACTTAGAACACATTTAAAAAGTGCAAACATTTAAAAAGTATGTTTTACACAAAGTATGTTAGTGGAAACAAAACATTCCAACTCAAAAGGCTTACGTAGATGTCTTCTCTGAAGGGCTTGTGCAAGTGCCATCTGTGCATGCATATATAAAGACAACTAGGGCAGTCTTTGACGTACAGTAGCTGTGCAAGCCTTTCAAAGGATGTGCCTAAATCAGTGCATTAAAAGAGTGATTAACTTGTGTTAACACGGTTTGCAAAATGTGTTTATTTTGTATATAGTTTAAGAGCATATTGTGTAGCCTGGATTTTACCAACATGATTTTTTTAAAAATGATGCAGTTGATGTAGCAAAGTGATAGTATATGCTCCTATTCCTCACTGAGAAATTGAAAACAAATCTGGATCCAGAAGCTCCTCCAAATTATCATCCAATCCAGAATAAGGAGATCAACTTTCACCTACACAATGGGCCCTTTCATTTTATCTAGATTTACTGTTATTAACTGTCATTTCACAAACCTTACAGACTTTAGGTGGCTATTCAGAAGAAATTTTATTGAAATTTTATGGAGAAATAGATTTGAATAGTAGCACCTTATTCTTGACATTATTCATGTGGTCATCTACTGGTTTATAGTGAAGGGTCACCTGTATGTTAATGATACCAAGTTGCATTGCTATATCCTGAGCAGGAGATTATGTGGCACTGTTAGCCTGGTAACTCTGAAAAATTAGACGAGATGAAACACCACAATGAAAGTTATGGATTTACCAGAAGTCATCTGGCTCTATGTTACTTCCATCTGTAGGTCTAAAGAAGCACTTGTAAATTTGTAGTTCCTCCTGGGCTTACAGTTCCTGCAGGAACAACAGGTGGAAGACATGACTAGGAGACTCTTTGCCTAGTTTGTTTGGTGTACCAATTGTGAACTGCTTTGGAATGGAATTTGGATAATTGGATTTAAAGTTACAGTTTACTAATAACCTTTGGAATTGTTGGTCTTAAATTGTGTTTAAGATACAGGTAGCCTTCTCATAACCAACTGCCCTGTACAGTGACTGTTCAAGGTTATGTTGGCATGCTGAAAAAGTAACTACAACTGGTCCTTGCACTTATTGCAACATATCGGCAGTCATGTGATTGAGATTGCAACTGTTGCCGCATCCGATAGTCACATGATTGCTATTGCCATGCTTCACAGCCAGCTTCTGACTATGAGTGGAGAAGCTTGTAGTAAAATTGCAACTCATAGTCATGTGATATTTTGCTTAGCAACCATGATGGAAATGAGGTCACAAGTCTGTCATGGACACATGATCTTTTGCTTAATGACTCCATTGCTTAGTGACAGAATTGCTGGTCTTAATTGTGCTCAAAGTCCTGGACATTAAGTGAGGTCTCCCTGTATTTAGGTTTGAATATGGCCCTGATGTCTCAAATTATGCAACTTTTTAAAGAATTTACATACAAAGAAGATTTTTTTCAGTTTTGCTGTGAGATTGCAATTTGAAAACTGATAATTTTTAAAATTGTTTTGAAGCAAAATATTTATAATTGATCAAACTCTTATAAATGTTGCCTCAAAATAATGGTTATACCTGATTCCAGTAGAACTGGAATTAATCAGCAAAATTAGTAATAAATCAGGCAATATCAAAAATATAATTTAGTAAAATGTGTTGATTCAGATTGTATTGTTTTTCTAGCAATATAAATAATTGGGAATGAGACATTGTTAAATTCTGGACAATTCTGATATATTTGCTGAAATATGTATCTGTTTTCAGTCTACTGACTTAATCAGAAATAGTCAATTTGAGGTTAGTGACATGAAAACAGTTATTCTCTTTATTAAAAAAAAAAGAATCCCAAGGAAGAATAAATGTAAACATACAGACACAAATATAAGTCATAAGTTGCCAATTCCAGCTGAAATTGATCTTGGAAATTTCTTCCCCACCACAAAATATGTAGAAGTAATATACATAAATGTGCATACATGTGAAAAAATGTGTAACACAGAGAGATCATACTCCATAATGGGCAAGACAAGAAAAGTAACCTTTATAAATATATTTAATTGAATTAGCAGAACCCTTTTCAACAAAGCTAGGGTCAACAAAGAGACAGTATGGGTGATATGGGTTATGACCTTGAAAATCTTATGTGGCATGGGCCAAGTTACCTATGGAATTATCTTTGTCTCATTCATTGTCCCATCCCACCTGGTCAGGCAGGGAAGGTATGTTGCAGATCCCGAAGGTTAAATAATTGTGACTTGCAGAGTTCAGGAGGAGAGCCTTCTTTGCAGTTGCCCCCGGCCTCTGGAACATTCCCCCTCTTCTTGAGGCAAGGCAGATTCCCGTTCAATTAGTCCTTGAATTACCTGAAGACCAGGCTCTGCAGACATCCTTGGGGCTCATACAAGAGTATACAGCCATGGGGCTGGTTAGCATCTTGAAGGCCTTCCCAGCTTTTAAATATAATTAAATTTAGCATTTATGTTTTAGATTTTAGTTGTACACTGACCAGAATCACTCTGTGAAGTTTTCTAAATTTGACATAAATAAATAAATAAATAAAATTGATTGCCCTTGTGGATAAACTTTGAAAGGCTTGGAACAGAGGTGATGTGGCTATCCTGGCTCTCTTGGCTCTCTTGGTGGCTTTTAACATTAGCAAGCGTGGTATCTTTCTGGTCTAGCTATGGATCTTAGGAAGCATGATTTTACAGTGATTCATCTCCTTGCAGGATTACTTCCAATCAGTGCTGAAGGGGGAAGGCCCAACTTTAGGTTTCTACATTGTGGAGTGCTTTGATCTCTCACTTCTCCTTTTTTACATGAAGCTGTTGGACAAGGTTATTTGTTGGCAAGGGGTGCTATATCACTATGCTTATGATAATTCAATTGTATTTTATCACCTCTAGCTGATAAAGGAGATAATGCTGTTTAGATGCTGTCCCAGTGCCTGGAGGCTGTAAGGGTCTGGATAGGGAAGTGCCAGCTTAGAGCTATCCCTAGTAAGGAAGTATAACTTTGGATTTTTAACCTCCCAGGCAAAATGTATTTGTTTCTTGATGGCGTTGCACTTCCCTCCACAAAGCTGGTGTGAAATTTGAAAGTCGTCCTGGACTTGTAATTCTTGTTTTAAGGAGCAGGTGGCAGCCATAGTCAGGGGAGTCTGCACATATCATCTTCTATGCCAATTGCACTCATTCTAGACATGGAGAGTCA